CTGGCAAAGCACTCCACAGAGAGCAAGGTGCATTCTTAGAACCGAAAGATGATCTCTTTGACTAGAGGGTAGTCACGTGGGACAGTGTACATTTGGCTGCAAAGAAGGTCTGGGGCCAGGTCTTCAGGGCTTTGTAAACTACCTTAGGATTTGAATTTTATCATAAGAGGAAAGGGAAGATGTTAAGTTTATTCCCTTTCTTAATTAAAATTATACTTACACATAATTAAATTGTCTTTAAAAAAATGTAACCACTGTTAACTTAGTTATATCCAAACAGACTATAACCTCTTTGAGGGCAAAGCCACTGCACTGAACTACTTCCACCTCCTCCGTATCTAGTGCAGTGGTTCTCAAACTTCAGCAGAATCATGGGATGGGGCCGCGGATGGTTAACACAGATTTCGCTGGGCCCCAACCTTCAAGTTTCTGATTCACTAGGTCTGGGGTGGGACCTGATAACTGTATCCCTTACAAGTTCCCAGGTGGTGTGACTGCACTTTAAGAATCTGGGGGGAAAGTACAAGATCCTAGAGGGAATCAGTAAAAAGAGTAAGAGAGTATATGAAGACACACTCAGTTCCTGATGCTCTTCTAGATCGTATACAAAACAAGCTGGGATAAAAGAGGCTGGAATTATAGAAATCCCAGAGGCAGACTGGAAAAGTAGAGATAAAAACAGTTAATGACAAAACTTTAGCCTAGGAGGTTTCCCCTCCATTAAAGCCCCTGTTCCAAGATACTCTTCCATTTATAAATAAAAAGCAAAACAGTAATTTTTTCAAAATTAACGATTTTAGAACAATTAAACAAAAACCACAAAGGATGCTTTTAAAAGAGTAGTTACACATCCTTACCTTCCCTCAATTATCTATACCTGAAATAAACCTAACCACCAAGCCTGCACTCCTCTAAATAGACATCATCAATTACCTGGTGACAGCTACAAGAAGGGAAGGCAAAATGCCTCGGAGGAACTGAAAAGCATCCAGAAAATTTGCTTTGCCAACTTTAACCTTTCTTAGTAATAGAAACGTCAAACTCTTTATTGGTTTATTTTTTTCTTTCTCTCTCTCTCCTCTTTTTCTTGCCTGCGTTTTTAAACTGAACATACAGCATATTTACTAAAGGTATAAAATAAAGGCAAGTTGTTAAGGCTGGCTCCTACAGTGGGAGGAGTGCTGAACTGGGAATCAGGACATCTGGGTTCCAGTCCTAGCCCAGGCACAGACTAATTGTATGGCTTTGTGCTCAGTTTATGCTCTAAATGTATACAGTTGGACAGATGGTCTTTGTGGTCTATTTAAGCTCTGATATTTTGACTTTCAAATCTAAAGAAATAAGAAGCATTATCACACTGTCAGGCACACAAGGGGACAGTCCCCAGATAACTAGAGTTCAAAGGAAACATTCTTGTGGGATTCCTTCACCTTCCACCTATGTCAATTAAGCAACTGGACAAAGGGAAAGCAAACACGGATCAAGTATCAAAAGAACAGCTCCAGATGAGTGCTCAGAGGAAGTGGAATTGACGCTCCCTTTACCTTCTGAGTGCCATGCTGCCCTCCGAGGTGGGTGCCAGCTCAGCCAGAGCACCATGTTCTGGTAAACAACAGTACCATCAGTAAGAGTGAAAGAAATCAAACACTTTCTGCAGGTCCAATCTTGGTTTCCCTATAAATAAAACATGACTACAGTCGTTTTAAGTTCTTCCTAGTACTGTACCTTTTCAAATTCCGAAACAATCAGGCAAATTTTTTTAACCTGCTATGCATTTACCACTAGTACTTTCATCAATTACACCAAGGAGTTGGTCAAATCTGGCCCACAGCCTGTTTTTCTACAGTCCATGAGCCAAGAATAGTTTCTACATTTTTAAGTGGCTACAATAATCAAAATAAGAATATTTTTTGACAAGTGAAAATTATACAAAATTCAAATTTCGGTGCCTATAAGTAAAGTTTTATTGGGATGCAGTCATGCTCATTTGTTTACGAAATGTCTGTGGCTACTTTCTTGCTATGACATAGTTGAGCAGCTGCAAAAATCTCGAATATTTACTATCTGACCTTTTACAGAAAAAGTTTGCGACCCCTAAGTTACACCACAGCCTATATACCTATATCATTTTAATAACAAACACTTCCAAGGGTTATTTAGATCATAAAAGACATGGGTAAAGTGTGAATAGGAAAATAAAAGAGTGTGACGAAAGAAACAGAAGAACAGCTTCAGGGCTAACAGCACATTTTGGCTTCTGTAAGAAACTTGCTTGCTTGCTTGGGGCGGGAAGAACCGGGTTCCTGATTGGCTGATTCAAAATTAAACAGCTCCCTCCCGCCTTGGGGACTTCCCGCCCTGTGAAGGGTTTAAAAGCCTCGCCCGACTGTTAGTCGGGGTCTCACTCACTTCTCTCCGAGTGGGACCCTGTCCGGACAGTTTGTGTAAGCTTCTATACTTGTATAAATCCTTTGCTAATCTTTCTACTTGGTGTTGGTGATTCTCGGGTGTCCTTGGTTGGGACACGGGTCGCATTTACCGGGGAACTCGACTCCAGGCGTGTGGCTCCCGGACCGCAACAAGAATAAAAGTGTTCGTACAGAACTTGAATTTTTCAACAGACGAGGATAATACTGGCAATGCCTCCTTGTGTGTGTGTATCTGACATGCAGCTTTCAAACCCAGAAAGAATGACAATCTCTCAATTTTACTGTCTTTCTGCAGCTCTCTATGCTAAAGGAGAAGAGAAAACTACAGAGTAAAACATTATCACTGGAAAATACAGCTAGGAACCAGAATGGCACTACGAAGTTAGGAAGTTTCCTAATGATGTCAAAATCTCACCTTTTAGTAAGGTGTCTGTGCTTTCTGAACCAAAAATAACTGAGACAAATAGTATGACAAGTGTGAGCCCACGGGAGGCAAGGGGACATAGTTTTTGAATTGGGGATGCACTAGAGAGATCTGAGATGCATTAACTGTGATACTCACAGGTCAGAGACTTCCACAGAGCTGAGAGCCAAACAGGTTAACAGACATTCACTCTTACTGATGGAGCCTTTTGATAAATAGAGTTTAAAAGACAAGAAGTACTTGTAAGATTAGAGGTTTTTACAAATGGGTTATTGGGAGTGTGAATCTGGGGATCAAGGTTTTTGGTTCAGGCTACCTGCATGGAGCATTCTCACACTACAAACAAATAAATTTAGAATCTTGACATGGGGTATTTCTCAAAAAGCATCTAGTCCCGAATCAGCTTCCTAAAAACACATGGACTATTAAAAATTCGAGGATGATGCCAAATAAATGTGCTAATGAAAATTAGGTCACATATTCATTTTTAAGATTTGCACATGTATTTTAAAGACACTTTTACACTGATGTTTACTAGTACAACTGAGACAAAAGAGGCATCAAAGTTAACACCAGTTGCATTGTGAGGGTCTGTTTAGGAAAGGTTTATGCCCTATACAGAGTTTGAGCACTTACCTCTGTTTCCCCTCTGCTAGTCATTATTCAGTTGCCTTCCCTCAGGTCAGAAAAGTTCTCCTTTCAATCAGGACTGGCTCAGCAGTATACCTCCTCTTTGGTGCCTTCCTCTGTCAGGTGATGTACAGATCTGCACAAACAGATATCCACAACCCTCCTACCTCTTCTCACAGACCATTTCAGAATGGTGATGTGCTTCCCAAACTCCTGACACCAGCCCACTCCTACTATAACACTCATAAGCTCTGCCAGTGTGGGACATGGCCTATTTTTTGGTCAAATGTGAAAGAGAAAGACAGATGAATGGCAAGAAGCAACAGACCATTGATGCGCTAATTAAGGCTAAGTTACTACATTATGCCAAGAGACTACAAACCTTCAAAGTGATGTTTCTTCACAGGACCGCCTCGAAAATTCATTAAAATACTGTAGCAGTTTCAGAATTGTCCATTTAAAATATAATGCAGTTGGTGCAAAGTGAAAGGTTTCCTTTCAACCCTCAAAGTCCTATTTTCCTCATTTTTCCTTAGTACTCTTACAGCTTGCACCTTCGAGTAAATTGTAAAAGCCAGAAGAGGCCTATTACTGTATTGATTCACATATTTCCCCACATTAACTAGTCCCTAACGTGGATATGAAACAAGGAAAAAGATCCGCATGAGCCTGTAGATTAAAGAGCAGAAAACAGTGAGCATTTCCTCTGCAAACCCACCCTGCCTGGACTGAGTGGAGGAAGGCTTCCTGAAGGGAGGGAGACGTGTCAAGAGCAGATAAAGAAATAAGGCAGGTGCCTTTTTGTGAATCAGACACTTAGGCCTCAAGTGAAAAGATTAAGAGAGAAAAACCTAAATATGTAAACATACTACTTTTCACCTTTTGGCATACTCATTTAAAATAATATTTCAGTCTGAACAGGGAAGAACTTGGAAGGAAAGAATTAACTGTCATTGGAAGCTGTGTAACTGAAATTTATTTGGTAAATGAGAAACTCTCAGGAAGTAATGAAAATGAGGAGCCACCAGAGTTTTTGCTCAATTTTCCTTTTCCTCAAATTCAGAATGGAAATGGGAGGGGGGAGGGAGACATGGAATTATGAAGTGAACATGACATACATTATTTTACAAGCTTATAGCTAATAAATCATGTTGTTCCTAGCTGCTCAAGGGGTGTGATCTTAGGGAGAAAACACCCCTCAGAAGAACAGAGGGGGAAAAAAATCCATGTTAAAGGAGAAAATAAACATGTAAATCATAGCAAAAACCACATTAGTTAGGTATGTGTAGGAGAAAACAATTGCCTCTTCTAAGAATAGATTTCCCTAC